TTCCTGCCTCGCTCCAAATTTGTTGGACCACGAAAAAAGAAAACACGGCGGAAATAATAGTTATTGATAATTCTCATCACGTAATTCCATTTTTCTTTTTGTGTTTTACCACGCAAAAAACTTTCGAGCCAAAAAGAGCCAGAAAATTAAAAGACAAAATTAGTGGAATAAAACTTTCTCATTGTGCATTTTCCATATTTCTATTTTACAGTTTTATATTAATAAAATTTTTCCCCTGGGCTTGGTGAGGATGCGTAGCACCTGGATAAATAAACAATCTTTTTAATTGTTGACGAGCCAATTTGGTATGGGGCATCATGCCTTTTATTACTCTTTTGGCTAATTCCGTAGGATAATTTTGCAGCATTATTTTAGTGCTTCTTTTGCGCAATCCACCAGGATACCCAGAATGGTCATAGTAATACTTATTATCCAGCTTTCGGCCAGTAAAAGTTAGGTGCTGAGCATTAATTAAAACTACATAGTTTCCTAAATCTAAATTAGGAAAAAAATCCACTCGATTTTTCCCCCGGAGAATAGTCGTAATTTTCGTGGCTGCCCGTCCTATTACTTGGCCTTGTAAATCCAAAAAATACCAATCGCGATTAACCGGTTGAGATAAAATACTGGTTTTTTGGAGTTGTTCACTCTCTTTGCTTGTAATTTCCATTATTATTTTTATTTAACTTTTAGGACTTTTTACAACTCTTTTTCTTATAACATTTACAACCTTATAAAAATCTTGATACCAAAAATTAAGTTTCTGCTTTTGTTTTGCTTTTTTTACTTACTTTTTTTGGGTTTGGGGCTGGAAATTGGAGGCTGGTCAGGTGTTTTTTTGGGCTGAGTGGGTTCTTCAACTTTTTTATCAAACAAGAGCAAACCGATTACTACTGCGAGTAATACTGCCGAAAGCGAGCCGAGACCAATTTGTCACTTTCGGAGTTGCTTTTGCAAATTTTCTAAGCCATTTTTTAATTCGGCATTCTCGGTTCTTAATTGAGAAGCAATATTATTAGCATCTTTTGCTTTATTTTCCTCATTTCAGGTTAGTTGGCTCTTTTCTGTTTGCAAAGAATTAATTTGTTTTTGTTGGTCTTTTTTTTCTTTATTCAAGCGGACGATTTCTGTTTCCTTCTGTGCTTTTTCTTGTTGTAAAGTTGAATTACTGCTTTGTAATGCTTTTAT